ACGGTTCGCTTAGCTTCGTTTCCCGTTTCCTTAGGCTGCATGTTGTTTGTATTGTTGTTGCAACGGTGCACCGTCTTTTTTTTCCACTTTCTAAGAATTTGCTTGCTTTCACTCTCATTCATGAAATATTTTGGATCTTAAGAACTTACTATGTGGTGCGAGTCGGTAGGCGAGTGTGTCTGCTTTAAAAAGTTTGCAAACTTTTGACGTATTAAGGCCTATGTTTTTAGACTTTTCGAAGTCCTGAATTTTGCAGGAGGTTTAGAGTAGATCTTAGAGGGGTGTACAAGTAGAAGGCTGAAGGGAATTTAGTTTGTGGTCTGTCCAACAAGAATAATTCGGAGATAGTTTGGGGGCTTTTGGGCTTTTGGATATGGTCTCGATTGTCGATATGGTTTCGCTTTCGTACGGTTATAGATAACTGTTTTGATCTTACTGGTTTTTGAAAAAGTAAATAAAGGGAAAGAGGAGAGCGGAATTTCTAGAAGGAAGACGCAAATTGTGTTTTCGACGTCGTAATACTTTATTTGTAAACCTTTCAGTTAGTAGGGGGAGAATGGCCAGAAGTTTCTGAGTGATTGACAGCAGCTCTAATTACCAGTATAACGTAGAAATTGGTTCTAGGAGTCCAAACACTTTACCTTCGGGTTTTTCGCGAGATCTAAAGGAGTATGTCGTTGTTAGACACAATTGAAATTCAGGGAGTTCGAAGCATTGGGATTGGGCCTCATAATGCTGCAGTAGTTGAGTTCCTGTCTCCGTTAACTATAATATGCGGTCCAAATGGAAGCGGAAAAACGGTAAGTCTCTGCTGTTTGAAGCAGTTCCTCAAATTCTTTTGTTTGGTTTTCGTTTACTGTTACTTATGGTTGTAGTGGCGTCTCTGATGAAGATCAGTGTCGAAACTGCTTGACATTAATGTGTTGATTTGGTCTGCTGGGTAGAATGTTCTTTGGTATGTCAACTTTTGCAGTTTTTTACGAACACCTCATTAACTTTTGTATTTCCTTTAGACTATCATTGAGTCTTTAAAATACGCCACGACTGGTGAATTACCAACGGGTAAAATGCCTATATTCATTCATGATCACAGGGTCAGTTTTGATTTTTTTTTTTTGCTGTGATTAATTATTAATTTTTTCTTCTCAAATGAGCTTTCTATAATTTTTATCTTGTGACGATTTTCTGCTTTCGCAGGAGGATAGTTTGTATCTTTACTCTTGATTGCGTATCTTACTGATTTCACATTTCAGTTAGCAGGCAGAACAAGAGTGGACGCTTCAATCAAGTTAAAGTTCAAAGACGTTCGAGGGCAGTCGTGCACCATAACCAGAAGAATGACCTCTCGTGCTGAAGGTAGCAAGGTATTTCTTAGATTCTTTCAGTCTTATGACATTATTTGGAGATGGCTTCAAATTCTAGACCACTTTCTTTCTTGTGTAAAACTTCACGTTTCCTTAGTTTGTCACTTGTAAATGTTTAGTTTTTCGTTTTAGGGTAAGGTTACAACAAGGTCTGAGGAGTCAACAATTGCTGTGGAAGATGACTTAGGAAATTCTAAAAGTTTGTCATCAAAAGTGGTAGACACGAAAAAAGAAGTACGTTTTTTTTTTTTTCAGGAATATGAAATGTATTAATTTATTCAAACTTCCAGAATTTTAAGGTCATTAATTTGCTTGGAGTTCCAGCTGCGATACTTGAATACGTTGTCTTCTGTCATCAAGAAGAATCTACATGGTAAAATGCAAAAACCTTTTCATGTTCTATGAAGATCTGCTCTAGTTGCTTCTTTTTAGGCCTTTGGATGAGCCAAAAAAACTGAAGGAGCGTTTCGACGAAATTTTCCAGGTCACTAGTTATGTAAAATCAATAGATTCTCTTAAGAAGATCCAAAAGCAGAATGTAAGTTTTCGTTTGGTTTTCATGGAACTTTTATTTATTTTTCTTATTTTTTCTATCCTTATTAAAAATTTTTCCAAAAACCTAAGCTTAACTGGTTATTTAAAGTCGTTTTATATTTTAAAAGCATTTCAGCAGGCAGAGCTGCAAACTTTGGGTGCAACTTTGCCTCTCTTACGACAACAGCTAATTAATAAAATGGAGGTTGTTCTTTCAGCTAATTTTTCTTGCACAACGCTTTGAAAGCAGCATTTAATTACTATTTTACGGAAGGGCCCTAAACAAACTTTTCAGTTGGACACCAAATCAACTAATCTTAAATTAACAATCGGAGACAGCGAACGTCAAATACGGGAGAACGAAATTAAGATTGAAGAATTGAGAACCAAGTTGGACAAGGCTAAGGAGGATGTCTTGAAGGCGGAAGAAGCACAGCGAGAATGCGGTGAGTTTTTCCTATAAAGACAGTTTGCAGTGGAACTAAAAATTCTAACTAAAAAAGTTACTTGCTACGTAGCAAATACAATCAATTTTCCTTCCAAAATTCATTTTCGTTACGTTGTTAGGAAAACATAGGTTTGAAAGACTTTGTTCTTTTTTTGCAGTTTGTGCTTTTAAAAGTTGGGGGATAATTCAGTGTTTAAATAGTCTGGCGGTTACATATGATCTTAATTAAGTTCGTGATTTGGATGGTGGGTTGGTTCTTGAGTGTGATATTTTAGAAAACTCGCAAAAGGAGATGAACTGGCTAAAGGAACAAGTTGACGCTTTAACAGTTCCTGATTACCAAGGAACAGTCACCGAGTTAGAACAAGAAGTTGAGTTGGTAATGTAATTGGGCTTTTCGTTAGCGTCCTAAATACTTATTATTTAAGCACTTGATCTAACTTACCAGTGACTTATATGAATTATTTTTGAAAGCTATATTTTGATTTTTTGAGTTGCAGCACGAATCTGTCGCGGCTTCTGAAGAAAACAAAAGATATGAACGAGACCGAAAACTTTGCGAAGAAAGGTTGAATACACTTGTTCACGAAACTAAGATCTTGACAAAGGAAAAAGAAAGGCTGCAAGAGGAAGTAGCAAATTTGAAAGCCCTCGAATTGGTATTGTTTAGGTTTTCTTGCTTTTGCTGGTTGAGAATACGTATTTTTAAGGGGCGTGATTGCTGAATTGTTTAAAGAATAAATTATTAAATCTAATGTTCTTTTGTAAGTTTGAAGCGTTTAATTTTAGATGCACATGAAGACTTGCGAAGAGGAGAATGAATTTGTTAACGAACTCTCCTGTAATTTTCAATTGCCAAGTATGCTTTTTTTTTGGTATAGAAGTTTTTGAAAGGATTTTGCTGTCAAGTGTGCTGAATAGGGAATTAATGGCAGAGTTGTTCGGTAGAAATTTATGCGAATTGGCCTTAAAAGTTCGTGACCTCGTTCCTGCTCTTTTTAATTTTATCTGATAAAAGCTGTAGCTTTTTACTTTTAAAGTTTATTTTTGAGGGGAAGGGATTGAAGAAGAACTCACAAAGATGCTTATGTCGGATAGGTTGGAACTCAGTACTTTGCAAGTCAGTGTTTTTTATCACAGGTTTTTTCGTTTCTCACGTATTGCAGACTTCATGGTCAGCTCGATGTTGTGACTCATTTTAGCTGTGTGTCGCACTCTTGTTGTACTTTTGCTGACACGTTGTCTTAATGGTTTTAGGCATTTGAACGGTCCCTATTCTGAGCTTTGCTTTTCCACTTTGTAGAGGAAGGGAATTTTTTGTTTGTGTGGAGTTCGAAAAGTCAAATAAAAATTGTTTTGCCAGTGAGATATTTAGGACGTGTTGTATAATGCAGTATTTCTTTCAACTGCTTGATATTTCATTTCCTAGCGCTTCCAAATCTTCTGCGTTTACAAAAGAATTGTCATTTGTTTGTTGAAAGCTAGAGTATTTTGCTAAATTAGTGAAGAAAAACAATTTTTCGAGTAGAGGAAGTCTTGGAATATGAAAAAGATGCATGCAGTTTATTCTCGTGGATACTGCTGGGGGAAAGTAATTTGTCCAGTATTGGAGAAAGCTTTTTGCAGCCAACACTGGGGAACTTGGTTAAAAAGAATTTTTCTAGTTATTACCGGAACAGCAAAAAATAAAGTGGTTTAAGCGCAATGAAGTTTCCTCCATAGCAAACGTTCTTTCAGAAAATCATTTTTAAATTGAACTTCATCAACTCAACATGGGATTAGTTCTCTAAAAGTTGATGGTGATACATTTTTTCTTTATTCGTCTTATTTTAGGAGTCATTTAAAGAAAAACAACGCTCTTCCCAGAATGAGGTTGACAGGCTGAAGGCGAGACTAGCTGTAATTGATAATGATGTAGGAAAAAAGTTAAAAAATATATCGGTTCTGAAAGCTGAGAGTGATAAACTAGAAGCAGAAATGAAAGAAACTAAGGAGTCCCTTGAGCAGTATGTTGTCCTCTTGGTTACTACTTTCTTTAGTGTTTGTTTTGTCTTAATCCCGATCTTCAGGGTCATAGTAGGTGTAAAATGTTTTTTGGGTTTTAAAAATTCTTAAATTCCACTAATTCTGAACTTGATCTGATTTTTATTGACGATATGAGGCCTTAATTTTCTGTAATTGAAATTTTTTAGCATTGTTTGTTCTATTTCTGAAAACATTTTGGAGTTTAATTCCTTAGCAACAACAATTTATTGGTCGCTAAATAGGTACTTAATTTTTCAGATCTGAAGAATTGGGAAAAAAAATTGCAGACACAGAAAAAGAACTTGAAAAATATCCTTCCCACAATAGTTTACAGGAAGAAATAGACCAGCTGAGGAAGAAAAGAGACGACATTAGTTTAAAAGTAAGGGATAATTTTTGTAAACTATTTACCCCGTTTGAACAAAAGCCTCATCTGTTCTTTAGATCTCAGAAGTTCAAGAAGGATGTCGGAAAAGCGAGGTGACGGCCAATACGCGGGAGCTGCTAAATAAGAAGAAGGAAGAAAATTTGAGTTTGGCCGATCAGCTAGATACTCTCATTCAGAAACACGAAACTGGAATTGCTGACTTTTTTAGTGGAGGAAAACCTGATTTTCCGATTAAGTATGAAGCATTGTTCTGTTTTTCTTTCTAAATTTGTATTTTCCTTATGAATTTTTGTTAGAATTTTATTGAATGTCTCTTTTAGTTTCACACCATGTGCTTCGATTTCAGATACAGTGTGTCCGTCGCTGTGAAAAAAGTTGGGAAGGATGTAGCGGCTGTTGAGCAAGAGCACCTGAAATTGGAGCAAGAAAAGAATGAGCTAATTAGCAATATACAGCATTTTAGCAATCGGATTGAGCAGTTGTCGGATGATATTTATTCTTATAAAAGTCGAATTGAGAAGGTCAGACTTGTTGTCATCGCGCGACTACATTGAACAGTGCTTCCCAGATTTGTTCTTTTCGTTTTTACCAGTTTTTTAAGAAACTTTTTCACGGAATAATTCAGCTGAAGAGTTATTCGTCACCAAAAAAAGCCTGAGTGAAGTCTAGCGATGAATTTCAAAATATTTTGGTATTTTAAAGCTTTTTTCAAAAGTTACATTTTGCTTTAGAAACTTAGGAGCTTGTTCTTACTCCAACTCCTACTCCCTAGTTAAAATTCTTAGCTATTAAAAACGGCTCATTCAATTTTTAGGTTGTTCCTTTCGGTGATAGCGTAGAAACAAGGTTAGGGGAAGTTAACACTCTATTGACTAAAACAAGAAGAGACTTGGGTCTTATTGATGGAAGTCGGTATCTCTATGAAAAGTGGGAGACAGAAGCAAAAGAAAGGAAGTGCTGTCCCTTGTGTGAGCGGAAATATGCAACTGTTGAGGAAGCGAATGAACTTGCTCTCAATGTATATCTAGATTTTTCACGTCTTTTGCGCCGTTCTTCATAATTTTGGTGGGTACTTAGTTCTGTTTAAGGTTTCTCGGAGGCGACAGGAGCTTCCTGTTGAAATAAAGAAGTTACAGAGGAGGATTTCAGAACATGAGGAGCTACAGAAAGAGTTAATTGAGGTGGCTCCTTATGCGAAACTCCTAAAAGATACCGAAGAGCAAAAATTAAGGCTGAAAGACGAGTTAGAAAGTGCGCAGGTACTTTTGATCACTCAATTTTTTGAATGGACGTTCTATTATTCTTTGCATTTATTTTCTTGTTTCTAGGGAAAGGCTACCGATGCTGAAGAAAAAGTTAAACTGTCGCTAGAAAAAAAAATTAATTTAAAGGAGAAGCAAAGCCTCATTTTAAGTCTCCAGGTTTTTTTCCTAAGTATTTGATTATTTTAATGTTTTTTCATTCTTACAACTTGGCTTTTTTATTTGGTAAATATCCAGTTTAGGCTGACGCTTCATTAATGGACAGCCTTTGGGAACAGCAGAAGAACCTTCGAAAGGAAATAAGTAAGTTGGCTACCGAGCTGGAAGGAGAAGAGCAGTTTAAGTCTTTGCCGGAGTTGCAAGAAGAATTAAATGATTTAAACGTAAGTCAGAATTTGAAGATTTTTTCGTTAAAAAATACTGTTGAGCATTTTTTACTTTTAAATTCTTTATCCCTTAATTAAAATCTAGTTTGTAGAATGATCACAAGAGAATCGTGGCAGATATTGACGGTCTGCAAGCTAAGACAGCTGGAAGAAACAGAGTTGCAGATCAAGTAAGTTTGTTTCTGACCTTTCCTCATTTGTACTTCGTTTAGGTTTTTATTCTGAACTTCTTTGAAGGTTTGATTTTCCTACAACAATAAAGTTAGAAATACAATTTTTTTATTTCTTCAGCTTACTAGGCTTCGTGAGCTTTCTCTAAGCATTGCTAAGAAAGCAATGTCTATTGAAGCTGGAAAGAGAGAGTTAGCTGAAAAACGAACGGACTTACGAAATGAAGAAGAAGAAGTTAATAAGTTGAGAGAGGAGAAACCAAATATTGTTGAAGAACTAAAGGTCCTGTTGTTTTCATTACTTGAGCGTTCTAATTTGCAGTTATTGATATATTTGCAGAAATATTACATTTTTAGGTTAAAGTTGCTAATTCCGAAAAGCTTATGGAAGAAAATAAAGCTGAGGAGAAGCGTCTCGCAGTGCATATTAGCGAGGTGGAGAATTCTTTCAGTAAGCTAAGTAGGTTTTATTATATAATTACGTTCATTTTTTTAACGAAGCGTAGTAGTATTTTTCCTATTAGCCAGGATTTGAATGTCGTTGCTCAGTAAATTTTTTAAAATGAGTATTGCGAAGCTTTCTGAGTGCCACAGAAGAAAGAGGGTTTCCGGAAGATAAAGGTTCTTTATCTTTTTTGCAGCTACGATGCGTAATAAATTGAAAGAAAGTCAAATATCGGCCGAGGTCTTGATGCAGAAGCAGTGTTCTTTTAGTGAATTGGTGCAAAAAATTCAAAAGAAGGAAGAGGAGAGTCGCATCCTTAGTGCAAAATTGGATACTGTTAACACTCAGGTACGGTCTGTTTTAGAAGTAGAGTGGTGCTTTATTATGTTATTCTTACCTAAAATTTAGCAAGAACGTGGCAGAAGACTCAAGGAGCAATTGCGGAAGATTAGGTTTCGTGAAAAAATATCACTGCTGTCAGACCATATAGAAAAAGTATCTTGGAAAGGGAGACCAATAATGGATTTACGTAGAGTAGTCAGTCAGATAGAGAAGCAGTATGGCGATTTAATGTGCTCAGTGGAAAAAAGAAAAGGTCATTTTGCTGTTCAGAAGTGAAAATTTTAGGCTTTTGTAATGTTCCCTTTAGCAAGTGGTAGTTCACTCTTATTCAAAAGTTCTTTCTTTGCCTCTTCACAGTTAGCTTTGATACATGATCTGAGCATTACTTTGTCAGAAATATATGATTAGTAAAAGTTCTCGAATTATGCACAATTCTGGGCATGTTAAATTTTTTTCAGGCGAAATTAAGCAAAAGAAAGTGCAGCTTGACGAAATAACCGAAAAGTTGGATTCAAAAGACGTTTGTAAGTCAGAGGAAGTCTATAAAAGAAATGTGATAACAAAGTGTGTTACCGAAAAAGTGATCGAGGTAACTATAGACAGATTGATTAATTAACGTATTAATCATCTTATCTTCCTTCTTCCTTACTTGAGAGGATTTTTTTTCTTATTTCCACATCTCTTTTAATTATAGAAGCTACGTGCTTAACAATTTCTCTAAATCATATTATTGGTACTAAGGGTATCTGGGTGTCTTTGCGTTTAGTGGATGTGAGAAGCGTTGTGTAAATTCGTTCTACGTAAATACTTTTGCTAAAATTTATTTAAGGACCTATCGCTTTATACGCGAGTACTAGACGAGTCAGTTGTAAGATTCCACATGGAGAAAATGGAAGAGATTAATGAGGTACTTGAGCAGTTATGGAACCAGGTCTATCGCGGTGACGATATTGAGAAGATCCAGATAAAGTAGAAACTTTATGGTACTTTATCATCTTTCCTCCTTAACACTATAAGAATGTTCATTACTCATTTCTGTATAGATCTGAAAATGCGAGCGAAAATGAAAAAAGGAAATCATATAACTACCGAGTAGTAATGACAATAGATGGGTCAGAAATTGATATGCCTGGAAGGTGTAGCGCAGGACAGAAGGTACCACTCAAGATACTTTTATAGATCGCTTGGACCAAATATTTTTAGGTCATACTTTATCTAAAAAGTTTACTTCATAATTGTATATCTGCCTTTAGATGCTTGCCTCAATATTGATTAGGATCGCTCTCTCGGACGTCTTCTGTGATAAGTGTTCAATAATTGCATTAGATGAGCCTACAACAAATTTAGATGTCCTGAAGGTGCTGTGGATTTTAATTTTATTAGACGAAGACAAGACTTTGTTACTCCACTTGTTCAGTATTTTCTCGTACTTATTCTATTTTCTAGGTTGAAAATTTGGGCGAAACTTTAGCTCAGATTATCGAGGCTAGATGTAATATGAGCAAAAAAAATTTTCAATTGATTGTGATAACTCATGACGACCGTTTCGTAGAGCATTTACGGCAACGCTGTCGTCCTGAGTGGGTTTATGCCTTGTCGAAGGATACTACAGGTTTTCTATTTATATTTTATTGACAAGAATACTGGTACGTCTTTGGAATTCCTTAAAAATATTATGAAGCAGTTTCACTCTTCAAGTGTGTTAAAATAAAGCGAATATTCATGAGGAAAGCCGCAGACATCCAGTTCTGTACATTTGTAACTGGTACGTGCTTTAGGTCTTTCAAAAGTGAAACGACATCGTAATTTGCAAGACGCGGGTATGCAATGAGCCTCAATTGGATCTCGAGATATCATGTTTACTGTCTTTGTAATCGTACTTGATACACGACTTTGGACGTTCCCTTTGGTTATTAGTACCTTTCTTCACTATGTTTAAACTCATCGATTTCTGAAACCTTTGATAAGGATAAGCTCGTTTCCCCTATGTTGTAGTACTTGTCTCTGGACGGGTGTTTTGCTCTTGGGAAATGAGAATCAAGTTCTGGCAGGTCCACCCTTTGCTGTGCCTGGAAAAGGAGAGGCTTTTTTTAAAGAGGGGTACTTTTGAGGCTTTCCATGATTCATGGATCAAGCATTTGATAAAACTCTTGTAGCTCCTGAATACCCTCCGCGAAAAATAGAGCTGATTCTCTAGCAGGTAAAATTTATGGGCTTTTGGTTTTTAAAGTTCTGCTTAATTTTTCCTGCTAATAATGCTTTTAAAACTTTTTTTGACAGTGACAATGGCTTTTTTTTTGGTTTGCTTGACTTCTTATCTTCATCGTAACTTTTGCACTGCATTAATTTAATAATCAGAATAGCTGACGGCACTTGTATACGCTTCCCTCGGAAGCTGTTTCTGATGACGGGTTAACTTCATTTTTTTCCTAGCACTTTTTCAAGGATCGTTTTGTACGCAATTTCTATGTGATTCGAGGGGTTGCGAGGGTTTTTTGACACGTAAAAGAATTTTTTCTTACCGGCCGAGAGCAGATTTTTGCCCGTAAGGTCTCCTTGCAAGGTTTTTGCATCCATATTGGCGGCGCGTATCGGTTTAAATCTGCTTTTATGTATGTGCAAAATCTTACGTCGCCAGGTAAATCTTGGTATTTACTGAACGCTTGATAATCCACGGGGGTCTCGTCACTCCATCTCACTGAGTTGCGGTTAATTCCAATCCAGTATTTGGTAAAAGGCCTGATCGCAGCTAAAAATTGTGTGTTTTTCGAGAGTAATTGGCTTTTGTTCCTTTATTTGCAAAGCATTGCACTTTTAGCTGGAGAAGTGATGCTTTTCAGATGTGGACGCTTCAGGCACTTCCTAGTAAGCTAAAATAAGTTTTACCCAGGCCGTCATTAATTGCTCTGCTGGTGATTGCTGAAAGTCGTCCTCCGTATTTTTTCTTACAGAACTTCTGACCTTGCTTCCAGGTCATTCTCCCAGTGATTTTCTGAAATTGCGATGTATACCCCATCCCATTTTAAAACAACGTCTTTGATTCAAGTGAGCAATCTAAAGTGTTGTTTTGATAATAATTCATACCTCGTAGC